TATATATATATATGAATACAGAAAAACACTACATTTACTTAATTGCAAAAGGAAGAAATTGTTTGGAAAAAGCTGATCCTGGTTTTCCAACAAGTTATGATGATGCTTATGGCTTTGTGTTGGCAATTATTTTTCTCTTTCCAATGACATGGATGAATCCAAATTATATGAATGTAAACTAACTGACAATGTAACAAAGCACCATCATTTGCTAAAGAAAAATAATAAAATTATATTCTTCTATTATCATTTCTTCAAATTTCAAATGTAATAGCCACATAACTTTGGATTGCAAATTTTGATCATACCCTTTCCCTAAAGGTTTTTATGCTTGCAGAAGCACACTTTTAAGGCTAGCGCTTTTCCCATGAGCTTCACAGCATGTCTCTGCCTATTTGATCCTTTTGAGTAGAAGAGGAAGGGCGCGTTGAGCAAACCCACCATGCTGTATCATGCATGCTGTCAAGCAAGGGCACTGTGGTGAGCTCTGATGCTGTTGGACTCACAGACGCACTGCCTTTCTCTTTACCCTGCTTACCAACTTGGACTCCACTGCTTCTCTCTGGGCTCCTCACTAGCCTTCAGGCAACGTTTGGGTGACCCATGAAGAAATGGAAAATCTTGCAGCTCCAGCCAAAACGGTTAGTCTTCACAGCTTTATCGAACCTGAAGGAAAGTTATTTTGCTGCTATTTGGATGAAAAAGCTAATTCATTTTCTATAGACTGGAGAAATGAGAAATGGGGTGTGTTTGTACAGTTCATGCAAAAACAACTAACATTTTGTTGTAGTTTTATGTTACTCTACTTGCTTAAGATTTTTAAATAAAAGTGCTAGATTGCCATAATGTGATAAACATCATTATAATATACAAACAAAAAATCAATGATAATAATGCAATACAACTCTTCTATTCATTTTGCTACACTGGAAAATTTTAACAATAAATGTCACAGTATTGAGCAAATACATGGGTAGTAATTTACTAAATCAAATTAATCTTGTTATACAAACATTTAGACTGAATATTTATTCTTCAAATCATCGTGTAGTTTCTGTGCTTTATCATCTTGGATGCAGAGTTGACCAAGAAAAAAATGTCATTTTCTTTTGGTATTCAAGAGTACAGTTTTAAATAACTTCGTGGAAACCCTGCAATTGTCAGTTTTTAAAAATATGATGCTATATGTAGTTGTTTTTCATGTAAAGTAACAAGTTGGGTATCTCATATATTTTCTATTTATCAGCTTCTTAATATAATGACTTTTACACTTCATCAGTCATTGAAAGTTGAATATCTAGAAAGCTATGATAGATAAAAATGTCCTATGCTAATTTTATTTTAAATCTAGTTTTATTTTACTTGTTTTTTATTTTGTTTTGTTTTGTTTGCTATTATTGAACTTTATTTGATTATGAGAAATGTTTATTAGAAAGATGCAGTCACTACTTTTACCTAATTAATTTACTTTACATAAAATTCCCTATCATACATATGCATATATGTAATTAGAAATTTGTATTGTTACACACAGGTTTGGAATGACCAGAGCAAGTGTTCACAAAAATCACTAAAATTTCATATATCTTATGTACATATGTTTAACTTTGAAACACTTAAAAAAACTATATTTTTGCCCTATTTTCATGCTCTAGGAAAATGATTATCCTGAATATAAGAACCTTTAAATATATCTGCTTATGTCATGATAATTAATGTTTTATGTAAAATTTTGCTTCTGCTAGAAAAATTTTGCTGTACTTTTTGAAATTAATTTATATTTACCTGCTTTATTGATCATTTCATGCTGCTAACACAGAAAGAATCTGAGGAAGGAAGCTGGGCCCAGGTAGGAAATTCATATGTTTGAAGACAACTATCATTTAGATTGTGAGGATATACATTAGGAAACTATTGTTTTTGTTTTTTTGGTTTTTTTTTTTTTTTTTGGTATCGGGGATTGAACTCAGATCCTTGTGCTTGCAAGGCAGGCCACCAAACCGCTGAGCTAAATCCCTGGCCCATTAGGAAACAATTGTAAGTCATAGTATTTGAGTTCTTCACCTATCTCGATAATTAAGCTGATGTGTAGACTTGTCTATATTTTCAAGATCATGTCTTTTTAGACAATATGTTTTGCAAATAAGATGATTATCATTTCATAATTGGCCTCAAATTTTAAGAGAGCTTTCTGTCTTCTCCAAAGAATGACTTGTAACTCCAATTTCTCTGAAGTCATTCTTGAGTAAATTTGGTCAGGAATAATTCAAGTTGGATATAGGGGTAAATATCTTTAAATAACCATTGATTTGGAGTTTCCTAGGCATTAAGGCATCATGTAAAGTATATGAGGATGTGGATTAGAGGGACACATGTCAGTACCACTGACCACAGGTCAGAAACTACTTACACTTACTAAAAAGGCTGTAGGAGACAGACAGGCATCTAACTTTGAATAAATACATATGTTACCAAAGAAGCTGAACAGTGTCTTCAGCATCTGTAATTGGACAAATGAATAGATGTGCGTTCACTGTGATTCAAACATGTGAATATAAGAAAAATCTTGAGAACTTAATATCTTGACAACTTGATAATTAAGTCTTGATAACTTGTATTCAATTCAATATTGACATGAATTTCATCATTCTTGGAATAAGAGGGGCACCTCCATTTTTAATAAACACACTTGTTATAGTTAGAATTGTACCTTTTTAGTAAGATAAGGAACGAAACATGAACTCTTGTAAAAGTAATAGCGTAATGAGGGAGGGGAGAGAAGGGATGAAAACAGGAATTGAGATGTATCATGTCCACGTGCCAATGCCCTACAAAGAATGTCAACATCATGTACTTTGTAGTAAAGTACTTATTCGGAAAATGATCTGGAAAAAAGAAAATGGTAGAAAAATAAATTACAAAAAACGAGTTTAGTGATAATGGTTGATTTGCTTTTCATTTAAGCTATTTTGAATAGATTTTGACAAAATCAGTTCCTATGCTATATTAGTCAGATTACCTGTCTTAGTTTTCTATCATGTCCTACTTTTTAAGTACACTCTAAATCAGTTTAGAAAAAGACTTTGATTCTTTCCAGTGATCTTTATAGAATGGTTCCTACATGCTCTTCAGGAAACAATAGTGTTGCTATAAAGCTTCAGCATTCTGTCTGTCTAAACTTATTGGTCATTTGTTTACTGGTGTTTCTATTTTGCATTATACTTTAATAATGCAGTAGGGACATTGATGAGAAGGAGATGTTGGAGTGTTGGCTGACAAATTATGAATAAAAAATCCATACTGATGAAAGAATCTTAAGCTCAAAATTCATAGTATGTTTCTAATTCTAATTTCTTCACTAACAAAATATTTATTTGCACAAAATATAATTCCTTTTTAAAACACAAAGGGAGCAATAAAACATTCTTCTAAAGAAGAACACTTGGATAGATATATATTTAAGGTTCTATTTTGTACCAAATAAAATAAAATATTTATAGATTAAATATTATTTTGCTTGGTTTCTGTATAGCAATTAAATATCAGTTATACTAAGGACTAATACCCTCCAATTACCATCTCATTTCATTGGTTAAGAAACTTGGCTGCTATAAAACAATTCTAGTGTCCGGTTTTTCTACAGACCCTGGCTTATGGAGATATGAACCATGAATGGATTGGAAACGAATGGCTTCCTAGCCTGGGGTTACCCCAGTACAGAAGTTACTTTATGGAATGCTTGGTTGATGCAAGAATGTTAGATCATCTAACAAAGAAAGATCTTCGTGTTCATTTAAAAATGGTGGATAGTTTCCATCGGTAGGTTTTTGCCGAATAATAATAGTGAAACAATAAATAACATAGTTTACCAAAATAATTAATAGTTATTTAGGGGATAAAAATATGTCCTCATGAAGACAACTGTGTAAATCTTATTCAAAAATATTTTCAAATACCATTTCAAACATTTCTCCTTAATGTGAGACTGTATTAATAGCCCCAAAATTTATGAGACTATATATGTACAATATTATTCTCATAGACCATAGGTTTAGTTTTTCAGCTGGATCTTTAAGAAATACCATGTTTGCAATTTTATAAATCTGTGTATTTACATTAGAAAATTATTTATGTACAATAAAATATTTGTGGTATTAACATTATAAATGTATGAAGTTATAAATTATATAACAGGCATATGCTAGAAAAAATTTAAAGCAATTCTTCTGTGAAGTATGCTTTTGCCTTTTATTTTTAAATAAGTCTTCTAGGACTTTTTGTTTACTTGTATATTAATTTTCAGGAAAAAATTACACAAGTTGCTAAACACATGTTATAAGGACACAGGTGAATAAAACAAAACCCCTTTTTTCAAATTCTGTATCATATATCAGGTATAAAATGGGACTGGCAATACTTTATCATAAATGCTGTGTTGTAGCACGACATCTTTGTATTCTATGTTCCGTAGCTATAAGTTCAACATAAAGGTATCGCAAAATCTAGTTTCTTTTGAGGCCAGTCTTCTTGGCTTATTGACAGCTGCTTTCTGTGTTCACGTATGTTCTTTCTTCTGTGAGTGTACGTTCCTGGTGTCTTCATCCAAATTCCCTCTTCTTATATGGACGTGAATGATATTAGATCAGGGCTGACCCTACTGGCTTCATTTATTTACTTCATTAAATACAGTCACATTCTTAGGTGCCTGGAGTTAGAGCTTCAATGTATGAATTTAAAGAAGACATAGTTTGACCCACAGCATCCACCTAATGCAAATTCTCTCTCTCTCTCTCTCTCTCTGATTTTGAAATATTTGTCTCATTCTTCTCACAGGGCTTAAAAATGTATCCAACATCTATCTAAGTGTAGCCTGCCAGTGTTGTCTAAATTTGTGTACATTGCTACATACATAAGTAATTGATGATAGTAATTGATCTTTATTCTTCAAACAAAATATTGTTTTATTCCTATCACAGTCATCACAGGCTTTATATTTAATAACACTAGGTATTCTCATTTCTTCTCATTGGGGGTGTTTGGTCTCTGGAATTTTCTTTTCATACTCATGGTTGTGATATTTTCAATGGTTTTTCCATTTCTGAGAATTATGTAGTACTCTATACTATGTTTTTCCATAAGATTGTTCCCCTCTAACAAAACTTTTTATCGTTATTCCTTACTCATCTGAAAACTATCCACTAATTCTTATATTCCTGGTTGCATTTCACACACAAAATGCAAGACTTTCATTAATAATCCCCTATTCTCCATATATAATTGAGTTCCTCCTCACTTCCTAGTATGATTTCAACTTGGGAAAGTCCCGCTCACTGTCATCATACCTTTGGAATTCCTTCTACAGTCCTATGTTCATGATACTCCATTTTCCTCATTAATCCTTTTCTGCTACTTGAACTTTTAAGAACCAGTCAATTTTCTGATCTTTCTGAACAGCCGTTCCACACATTGTCATAATCTGCAGACTTCTTCTTTTTAAGTATTTCTGTTGCAGAGTTGTTGGCTATTCATTGTAGTATTTGGTTCTGTATCTTATCATTTATTCGGTTGTTATTCTCACCAGCTTAAGAGTATCTATTTCCTATAAATTTTTTTCTGTCTCTATGAAAGGACTGAATTTTTAAAAAGGAATAAAATATTGGTCAGCACATTATGCAAAAATAGCTGAATGGAATACAAATTGATGAATGACAATTACTTTCAAAACTATCTTTTTCTTGTATTGCAAATAGGTTTCCTACTTTTTAAGAAACATTTATGCTTGACATAATAAAAAATGTATTTTCTTCTGACACTGAAGAATTAAATTGCAACTATAATTTATTCAACTGAAGCCTTAATGAGAAGCGCATAGTGTTGACTACCTCCATTTAAAAAATGTGCTTTATATGCAATATAACTTTCATGTGTTTCTTTTCTTAAAAAAAGAACAAGTTTACAGTATGGAATCATGTGCTTGAAAAGGTTGAATTATGACAGAAAAGAACTAGAGAGAAGACGAGAAACAAGTCAACATGAAATAAAAGGTAACATGGACTTTTTTCTTATTAAATGCCTTTTCATTGAGGTTTTCAGCCTTAATTTTTTGAAGCTAAAATGCTATGAATGTTACAACAGTCATTAAGCTGCATGAGTATTTGTGTCAGATATTTTTCTAATTACAACACAAAAAGGGAGCACAATCTTTCTTTCATTCTTTGGTACCAGGGATCAAATTCAGGTCCTTTCGCTTGCGAGGCAGATGGCGGAACCACTGATCTAAATTCCCAGCACATTCTTTATTCCTTTGAACCTATTAATTATACATTTTAGAGACAGGATTTTATCTGTGTAGCCCGCACTGGCCTCACACTGGTGACAATCTTCCTACTTTAGCCTCCTCAGTGCTAGGATTACATGCATTTCACATTCAGTTATATAAGAAGTTTCCTTTACAAACTGGAGTAGTCCACTAATAATCTTTAGCTCAGAATGATTTCTAGATCGCTGAAAATACTTTGTGTACAAACACATTTGATTTGCATAATGAGATACACCATATAATACATTTACTGAAAAGCTCTGTATTTAATAATTAACCACTGTATTAACTTTGTGTTATAATGGAATACTTGAGACAGGTAACTTTATAAGGAAAAAGTTTATACACCTCCGAGTTTTGGAGGTTGAATGACATGCCACACGTTCTTGTGTGGGCTCCTCCTGGGCTCTTTCTCGTTGTCCCAGGTGACAGCGATGGGAACATGTATGGTTGCGTACAATTACTTTGCTGCAGGTGGCATCAGAGAGCTGGGTGGGGCCAGGCACAGCATTTCAGCCATCTTTTCCTGTGAACCGCCATGGGATCCGAGAAAACTACCCTCATCCCAGATCCTTGGAAGTGAGGCGGTTCCCTCGATTGATTTTATGTCCCGCTACTAGGCTTTTCCTCTTATGTGTTCCATAACTCTCCGCTTAGCAGTATAATACAAGCCAAGCTGTTAGCACATGAACTTTGGGAGACACTGAAACAATATCAAGCCACAGCAGCCATCTAAATATTAAGTAGTACCTTAGTATTCAAGGGGAAATAATGGCTTTAATTAGGGGTATGTTAAATTCGATACTTGTTAGAGACCACAGGATCCGTATTATTTCTGGTGAAAGAAACAATAAATCATTAAACATAAGGTATTAGCACTTTAGAAAAATCATTGATTCACTTATGTTATTTAAGGAAAATAACCACTTGCTAGGAGAAATATAACCAAAAAAATTAGAAACTTATCAGATATTAAATTATTTATCTGTTGCTGGACATTTAGCTCAGTGGTTCTGCCACCTGCTTCTCAAGTTCTAGATCCCAAGTTCAATCCCCAGTACCAAAACATTAAATATATAGATATGTTTAATATATATTTAATATTATCATATTTTCATATATATATATATTTAATATTTTCCTTTCCTGATACTTTAAAATTGATACTTGTGAGCATTTCCTCAAATTCAGTGGGAGTTTCTACATTACTTTAACCCTTCAAACGAGGCATGAATCTCAACTTCCTTTTGGGGTTTACTACAGAAAAGAAAACAGCCTCTATTATGTGCTGCTCCCTCTTTCTCGTTATTAATGTTTAGCATTGTTTTGTTCCTATTTACAACCACTCATTTTTGACATCCATAATCTGCACTTGTGCTTAACAATGTCAGAAATTATTGTTATCAATGGCAGCTTTGGAAACTACATCAGTGTTAGTAGACTGGCTTGAATTCATGGGAAAATGTTTAAAAATATTTTTCATATATGATTCATCAGAGAGTAGACTGTCACACAATAGGTTTTGTTCCTAATACTTCATTTGACTCATTGCTGAAGAGCAATAAAATGTTTTGCCATTATCAAACTTGAGCTGTTTGACTTCACTGTATTTTGGGACCCCAGAAAATTGTAGGTTGTTTCAGTGCATTGTTCCTCAGTTGAATTGAAATTTGGAAGCTAATGTACCAAAGATAGGCCCTAGAAGAAAGTATATATTTGACCTAACAAAAGATGTTTTCACTTACAAGTAGGTTTTACCCATGAGATTTCACTTTCTAGTTCCCTTTGTATTTTTTTATTGGAATTTATTATGCCTGGTCTCACCACATGAAATACTTCATGTATAGAAAAAACTAAAAGAAGAATTACCCATCTGGCCCTACCTCAAATGTTATATTAGTATCTGTCAATTGCTGGTTAGAGTGTAGGCTTAAGAAAAAGCTGCCATGATGCATGATGATTATATACAAACAACTCCATATGATAAGTGCTGTGAGTGAGATCATGAATAGCCCCTATATCCTATAATTGATCTGATGGCATTTACAGGAATAGCTCTCAACTGTGATTAGGAGTCCCTGTTATTATCAGAAGTGTTAATTAACCTTGACCTTAATAAACAGGTTTCTGAAGTGAAGAAAGTATTGAGAAAGTACTAACATTTAATTTGTTGCTAGGAAACAGTCAACACCGAGCCCTAGCCCTTTACTGCTTAGATCAAAAGGACACAAACAAAGCCTTAAAGGCAGGCATACATTTTGCTTGGAATCAGATTTCCAAAGGGATCTGATTTACTAGAATTAATTTAGATAACCAAAAGGAAGCAGATTTAAAAGTTTCAGAAAAATTGCTGTTAAGCCAAAATCCTAAATTAATGTATTTTATTTGTCATTGTTTATAGTACTAAATACATTAAAAATTTTAAGCATCTCACATTCTCACAATAATTAAAGCTTTAGCTCTCCATTTTAAGCTTTGAACCTACATCGGTTATATTTACTTTACAGAAAAATCAAAATTTATGGCAGATTTTTTAAATTTATGGCCTCTTCCTCCTCTGCCCTCCTCCTTGCTCATACAGTTACTGTTACTGTCTCACTAAACGTGGTTTCTAGCAGCCATCTCTTGGGATGTTTGTTTGTTCATCAGCTGGTCAATTTGGAGCAGGGCTACACATGATGGTACTGAAAATCTTAGCTCTCTGACAACATGAACAACGAAAGGCTGGATCAGCACTCTGTCTTCCTCCCGTACTTGATCTCTCTTCACTGTAGACGTGACAATGGAAATTTTCACATACCCATATTTGTAGAAATGTGGTGACTATCTAATATGTCTCATATGTCTAAGATATAAATCCAGTTTTAGAAAAGAACAAATGCTTCCTATTCACAAAGAAAACTAGACCATTTCTATGTGTTTTTGTGAAAGTATTAACCCATTGGTTGAAAGAAGATATCCCATTTAGTAAAATCAAGTAAACTGTCACCTATGTATAGGTGTTCAGTTTTTAAATTCATGTGCAGTGTAACCAATAGAAAGAATGCATTTTTATCAATAGCAGCTGATAATGCAGGAAAAACACAATGCAAGCCAATTCACATTCCAGTTCCAGAGGGTTAAGACCTTCACTGAACAAACTAATGCAATCTTAGAGGAAATCCTACAGTTCAGAATTCACCTAATAAGATATAGAAAACTTATATAACATAAGATTTACATATATAGCTAAGGTCAGTAGGAAAGTCTTTTGCTTTGCTAAAGACCTGGGGGAGGAAAGAGGCAAAACTTTGAGAGCAATAAACATTCTACTTCCTGTAGAAATATGTTTTGCTTTGGATGGATCAGATAATTATCGCCAGAAAAAGAAGTGGTTATTGTTCCCTTGCTCTTCATACTATACTAAATTCAAACAAAGATTTAAGATTTGTCTTCTGAAATTAGATTATCCAAGCCACCGTCAGAGAGTTCAGTACAGAAATATGAAACACAGCTTCCAGATTCATAAACAAATGCTTCATCAGCACTGTGGAATGACAGAGACAAAAAGAGTGGAAACTAAATTCTACTTCTGACCATAAGTATGTTATTCAATACACTAGACTGGACTTTGAACTAGAACAAAGAATAAGACTAGATAAGGAAGTAAATTGCTATTAGAGGTTAGTAGAAAGGAAATGAGGTAACAGGGTGTGGGAAGACGTGATCTTGGAGGAAAGATGATTGCACCGAGGTAAAGGGCAAATCTGCCTTCGTCTTACTGCTTTTCCCTTGTCCACAGAGCAATAGGGTGTAATAACTGGAATTTAGAGTTGCTACACTTCCATGCCCCGAGAAATCAGGATCATGGAGATAAGCATGACATACACTATACAGATTTCTTCCTAAGATAGCTGTGAACTCCTAAGAGGAATGGAATTGGAAGAAAAATTGATTTTGCTTTAAAAGCCAAACATGTTATATAATGGGCAAAATTAGAAAAAAACAAAGAGTGAAGTTTCATAAAATAACGACATATATCCATAGTTACCCTTGACGGGCTTATGTTTTTAAACATATATGGTGAAGTATTAGGAAAATAAATTACAAAATAAAACATTTTAAAAATAAAGCTAGACATAATATATAAGGATAATATAAGTAAATGAATATTTCAAGAAGCACAAAGTATAAAAACTTAGGAACTCAATAAAGTGGTGTTAACAGTATGTAGGTGAAATAAAATATCCCTTGAAAATATCTACCCTGAAATCTGAAAACCAAAGGATAAAAATGACATAAAATCATTAGAGTTACATTGGATGTCATGCACAGTTTAGTGTATATGTAATTGGAGTCTCAGAAAGACAGGTACAAGAGAATGAACCACTATTTAAACAGGTACTGGGGGAGACTCAATAGGGCTAGGGATTTAGCTCAGTGGTTCTGCCACCTGCCTTGCAAGCACAAGGTCCCAAGTTTGACCCCAAGTAGCAACTGAATAAATAAATAAATAGAAATAGGAAGTGAAACATTCAAGATATTTTGTGCATTTTAAGAAAAATTTAAGAGGAAAGAGGAAACAAAACACATCTAGACACATTTAAGTAAAATTGCTGAAAATCTCCCCCTGAAAAAATCTTGAGATTTACAAGAGTAAACTCCTTAAGTTACTTTCAAAAGACAAACATAAGATACCCAGTGTCACTCAATTAAGATAACAGTACAGCAAAATGGAATGATATCCTTTAAATGTTGGATCAAAAAAATTATTTTCACCTAAAATACGCCATACCCTATCAATTTTAAAGAGAGAATTAATATATTTCCAAAGCAACAAAATCTGAAAGAATGCTTCACCAGAAAACACAAATAGGGCCAGGGATTTAGCTCAGTGGTTCTGCCGCCTGCCTCAGAAGAGCAAGGTCCTGAGTTCCATCCCGAGTACAAAAAAAAAAAATGCCAGAAAACACAAACAGAAAAAGAAATATTAGAATGAGTAATTTAGGCAGAAGGAACATTGTGATAAAAAACAAATGTTTACAGGAGGGAGGGGAACTGGGTATAAATTTTGTGGATAATTAATAATCATAACAACTGTCATTTAAAAAGCAGTAATGATTGAAAAAATATTTGAAAGCCTTTGCACTATCTAGGATATTATAAAATGAGTAATTGGTACTAGAATCTAATAAGTCAGACCAAAAAGTTATGTTTACTACCCAAATACATTTATTTCTCATTTTACAACCTACATGCCTAACGACTGTTCAGACTTAGGACCCACCGCTTTGACTTACAACCCATTTTTGTACAGTTCTGTACAACTTATTTATAGAGCCTCAATGTCTATGTTTGTACAGCACACCTTGTTTATACAGCACTGTAATTTTTGCTGATTGCATAGTGTAGCACAGTGCTACAGTTTTAGGTTCTGTTATACTCTATAGTATCACATGTAAGAGTTATACAAATAAAAGCAAACTGATCAAGTAGGATTTTCCATGGGCCATTTCTTTGTCCTGAATACTGTAAAGTACACACTACATATAATTCCTCATTTAGTGACCTATTGAACTAATGATCTGGTCACAGGAACTTGGTCATTAAATGAGGAATGTCTATAATAATACAAAGTGTAAATATCAAAAAAATTGTAAATATAATAAAAAGCAAGAAAGTAGGCAAAATTAAAGACAAATAGAAAGATGATGGGTTGAATTTCAAATATCTGAGTCATAATATTAAATGGGATAGACCAATGAATCCAATTAAAGGAGAGAGGAAAAGAAAATACTGATATGTTATATACAGTGGACACACCTTAACTATAAGGACATAAAAAGCTAGAGGTAATGAAAGAAAAGCTACACAAAGTTGCTGTGATTATTTCAGTATGATAATATAGACCTGAAAGCCAAAAATATACTGGAAATAAGTTGATGTTTTATTATAAAGGGAAAGATACAGCACATTTTCATGCTTCAGATATATAAATTTAAAATACAAAAAGCAAAAACAGGATGATCTAAAAATAAATATTTCCACAAGTATAATGTGAATTATTGATTAAAACTACAATAAGATATCACATATATTAGGTTTGTTGGACTATGTAAGGAACTCCAATAAACCTGATGACTTAGCCATTAGAATTGAGTTTCTCACCACGTAGAAGCTTGAAGTTCATGTTTGGTCCTTCTGAAGCCTGAGAGGAAAGAGTTGTTCCCTTCCTCTCCGGTGGCTTCTGCTGGCTTGTTGGATAATTGTTAGTATTCTCTGGATTATAGGAGCATCATCCGCCTCATGTTCACATGAAATTTTTCCATGTGTGTGTGTCTATTTTCAAATCCCAACCCTCTTTTTTTTTGAGGTGAGGTCTCACTTGTGCTCCTCAGGAAACTCTCACATCCCTAGTCACACGTGATCCTCCTGCCTCAGCTTCCGAAGTAGTCAAGGGGCTACATACATGTGACACAGCACCTGGCTTCCAAATTCTCCCTTTAAGAAAGACACCAGAAGTATTGAATTAGGGAAGATACTAGTGACTTCAGTGTAATTCATCATTTCTCTAAAGTAAATATTTTTCTTTCTACATATGGAAAAATGTTTTGATTTCTTTTACCCTTTTGTTCCCTAAAGACTTTTTCCTATGGGGCACTTTGTTGCTTTTAATCTTTATGCCACATTCTGCCAACTCATAATGGGAATACGCGGAGGCAAATCATAAAATATATTTTGCTTATTTTTTGTCCATAAAAGTCACACCTGAGAGAAATCTGGAGGTTTTTATTTTTAGAAAGCAAAATGTGTGTGGTAGCTCAGTACAATAAAATCAACTTGTGACTTGACTGTGTGCTTGAATTTTTCATTAATATGGAACCAGACAATAATGATCTAGCAATACTAAAATCGGTATCCATCTATTGAGTGTCTTTACTATTTCACTGTTTTGTTTTCTTTTATATATTACTTCAGGAGATATTAAGGATATCCTAGTTACTATACATTATTTAAGTGATTAATGAACACTTAAGGTGAAGAACAGTATTAGAATCTGTTTTACCTTGTTTACTGTGTTGACACAAGTAAGAAATGTCTCCCCCTGGCGGCAATCATGGTAAATTGCAGATGAATCCCTCAGGCTGTAGTATGGAAGTTGGAAAAATTGTATCTCCTGTGCTGATAGTGCTGCCATCAGCATAATAAGCATTAGAAATGATAACTTTTTCTAGATTTAGATTAGAAAAAATTATTCTAATAGTACATGCATACAATAGAGGAGATCCAGGTGTACTAGAAAGTAGATAAATCAGCATAAATGTGATTTAGTTAGATAGCTAAGGCTCATTTCATCCAGGGATTTTCCTACTATGCAGAATACTGCATTCTGAAATGATACATCTCTTTTCCTAGATGTGTTGGTGTGGAGCAATGATCGAGTTATTCGCTGGATACAAGCAATTGGACTTAGAGAATATGCAAATAATATTCTTGAAAGTGGTGTGCATGGCTCACTTATAGCCCTGGATGAGAACTTTGACTACAGCAGCTTAGCTTTGTTACTACAAATTCCAACACAGAACACCCAGGCAAGCCCCTCTGTACTGTAGTCTCACTGGATCTTGGTTAAGATAATGACAAACTAAACTTTGAGAAAAAAATGTAGCTGTGGGTTCATGACTTTTAAAAATTAAATTTACTTTAATGAATATATAAAACATGTAAATTTCATAACATGATGCTTTAATACATGTATGCATTATGCAATGTTTAAGTCAGGTTGAATATATTTTCCTCAAAGATATCATTTTCTATGGTGAAACTCAAAATGATTTTTCTAGCACTTTTAAGTGAACAGTAAATTACTCTTATCTTCAGTGACTCTGCTATACAATAGCACAACAGAAACTCTTACTCTTATTAACTGTAACTTTGGACTGATTGATTAATCTTCATCTTTCCTACCTCGTTGTATTCTCCCAAACTTCTATAACCACCATTTGATCCTCAACTTCTATAAGTTGAAATTTTTTAGAGTCCACATATGTGTGAGATCATGTGATATTTGTCTAGTATCTGGGCCTAACATATTTCACATATTATATTTATGAATCTTAAGTGAAATTAGTACAGCCACTATGGAAATCTTTAGGGAGATTCCCCATAGATGAAAACTAGAAATTCTATTTTACCTAGCTATTTCCCTTTTAGAAATCTTCCCCAAAGAATTAAAAACAGAATATTATAATGATACATACATATCCTTCCTTATACCACCACAATTCATAATAGATAAATCTTGGAAGTGACCTATATGTCCAACAGATGAACAGATAAAGAAAATGTGGCATTTATACGCACAATAGAGTACTCTCTGCCATAGGAAAGATAAACTTGAGTCGTTTGTAGAAAAATTGATGCACCTTGACATCATAATATGAAATGAAATACATCAGAGACTAGCTTAAATATCTCATGGTTTCCCTTGTATGGGAAATCCAAATTATAAATAAAGAGAAAGTAAAAGATAATAGGAACTAGGGAGATAGATATTTCTCCAATGGTAAGGGGATCAAAAGATGGAGGGAAGGAGAGAAAGTTGATGAAGAAGGGGAATTAAAATATTTTACATAAATGTACCAACACACAAGGAGTGTAAATATTATGTACTAACCCCGTACTGATAAAAATGAAAAAGTTAGCTCAACCTTTGAAATATTTCACTGGGGTTTTAATTTTGAGCTACTGGACTGCATTTCCAGCCAAAACAAAACGATAAAATTAAACAGGACAGGATTTAGAGGTGATTTTATATGGCCCAGTCTCCCAGTCACATGCCAAATTCCCCCCATGTCCCTGACAGATGGCTTCTGTCTCTGTGCACTGAAAGGTAGTCCTTTCTAGTTACAGGTCTGAACTAGTTCCAAAATCTGTAAATCAGTGGCGTGCCATACACATTAAAAATTAAACCTTCAACCAACATCATAGTTGTAAAAATCAAATACTAAGAGACAGGCCCCAAGAATTCCTAAAATTTAAAGTTTCTTTGAATGATGATTATTGACCAGGTCTGAGAAACACTTACAAAAATTTGATAGCAATTCGCAGTCCACCCTCATACTTCATTTCGTTTTTTGAATATTTAAAGTTTATATAAGAAATCTATTGGGAAAAGGTAAGAGAATGGTGTCAACGCTCCTTGGACTCAAACATTTATGGAAAGAAATTGCCCTACATAGTACTTAAAGCCAAATTTTACAATTACTTCATGCTGTCTAAAAACTTTAAAATTCCAAAACTAGAAGATAGTTTGCAAGGCATTTTTAGATAAATATACTTTGAATGAATGTTTAAAGAAAATGCGATTTCAGTGATGGTAACAATAATATGATATCAACAGGCACGGCAGATACTTGAAAGGGAATACAATAACCTCTTGGCCCTGGGAACTGAACGAAGGCTGGATGAGGTAAGTTCTAACTTAGCATTCAAAGGGCCTCTGAGAACACAGAGGACATCCTTACTTTTAAGGAGTATTGCTTGGAAATCAACAATATGCTTGTTGTATAGTTAGACCTGGAACTCTCATGACATTCTTAAATACTAAATTATATCCCTTAGTTTGGGAACTTTATGAATTCATAAATGTTACCATTTCTGTACTTGAGTAATTGAAAAGTTATTCCAACAGACTTTTTTTCATGAGCAGTAACTAAAATTTTAAGCAACATTATTTAAAAATTATAAATAATTAAAACACTAATATTGATCAATGTCTTTTAAATGAGGAATGTACTTATTTCTTAAATATCATGGTGACTTTTCAGGAAGTTTTAGACTATTAAAGTGAACACGATATTCAATTTATATATTCACTTTATATAAATGGGAAGTTTTCATTATTTTAGATATCATTTAAGTTTTCTCCAAAAATAAATAAATAAGATTTTAACACTCACACAATGTGAAAGCTATACTGAGCACAAGTATTCCGGTATATAATATAGGCACATTTAAATGATTTGGCAAATAAGTAAATGAAAAGCCTCCTAAACAAATACAAGAGATACGAGCAAACCCTGTGGGTTGGTTCACTTCTTAACAGTCTTTCTGAGAATTTTTGCAGGAACATTTAGGATGAAGTGGACAATACAGAGAAGCAGAACTATGAGTTACAAAGTACGTGTGTTCCTTGACTAGAAAGATATGCTGTTTAAAATAATTTTGTGAATGAATTCAAATCATTAAATGCAAAATATTTCCATGTTCAATTAGGCAGAGCAGATGATCGTGGTATAAAACCCACACAGTCTTTGTGAACTACATGATAGATAAGTTTTACATTGCTATCCCCTGTTAACCTCTAATAAGTTCACACTGTTTTCCAGTTAGTATAGTGATCAATATTTTAAACCCAATCAATAGCTAACTAATTTTACCTTTGTGAGTTGACAATCTATGTATGCATTCCAAATTGTCCATTTTAATGTTAGTATCAAATAAAAATAAATTGTCCTTATAAATTGAAAAGGGGATCAATACATTTGAATAAAATTCTTGAAGATCTGTCATGAGTATGTCTTAAAATGTGGGGTGAGCTAAGTCAACTGTCCAGGTAGAAATGCTATCCTACACCCACACTGTATCCCTGATAGTAAATAAGGAGCAGAAACGTTCACTAGATGAAATTTGACTATCTGCCTTTAAATAGTCTATCTCCTTTTTTATTTTTAAAAATACAACACATGATTTTATTGTTAAAGCCTGTAGTCTTTTTTGCCCATTTTTTTTACTGTGAGCAAAAATAGCCTAATAACTTGCCTAAAACCAGAATAGATTTTCCCCGTGTCTTTGCAGATCGCATTCAATTGTACTGGCACAGTATGAGAAGTTTTGATGCGCTTCTGTGAACTTCATTTAACAAAATATCTCTTAACCTTCTCTCGTGAGAACTTCCCCCTCCCCATGATGTTTTTCCCCATGGTCATCGTTCTGTAGTAACAATGCTGTCTACTGACCCAGTGGATGAATGGAATCATCCTTCACACTCTCAATATGTTTATTTTAAGCCCTTAGGTACACACTATAGAAGTTATCTAGCTATACAATGTAATGTAAGGTTTTGTAAAACTGAGAAATATTAACGCTTAACACAATAATTTCTCTAATAATCAAGAATTCACAGCTATGAATATCTGTTTCTTTTCTTATTTACTAATATTTTGCGACTCTAGGGTAATGTAAAACACAGCAGTTTGAGCGGAAGAATAAAGGACATCTTTTCTCTATAAAATGGCTAGCAAGTCTAAACAAAATTTAATCCTGATTTAAAATTTTTAAAAGTGCACCTATGTAATAATACATAAGTGATTTTCTTAGGTGTACTATGTCATTTAATTAAATTGATAATATATGAAGAAGACTTTATACTGTTAATTTATGAAAATAATAATTTGAATAAAGTATTAGCTGATTATTTTATATTCCAAGATGAGTTAGCAGAATAAATAACATGTTTGGATGTAAATCTTTGCGACTATAGTCTTTGCCTAAATAAGAAAGGTGGTGATCTTAAAAGACGAGACCTACATGGAAAGTTTAATAGTTTCCTTACAATTAGACAAAAAGAATAATATAGGTAAATGCTAAATTATATATTAATGCTTATCAATTAAAGGGAAAATAATTGTTTATGTATAGCTACTTTATGTATACAGAAAGGGAAGAGATTATTTCATTAAGATATAACAGATTCAGTAACTAGGATTATACAATTAGCCAGAATTACATTATGGTTTTAGTAGCACTGTATAAACACATGTACTTATTCAAACAATAGTGCCCAGCTTGCAAAGGCTTCCCAACAAATGACAAGTTAATTCTACATCATTTCAAATCTAACAAATCACAAAGTTTTGTGTATCTTACACAGATTATAGTATCATGAATCAGTTGGGCTCTTTGAAATACAGATTTCCCACAATGTATATCTCTTGCATTTACAACAGTGGTATTTCTCAGGGATAGGAGTCAAATGTAGTCAATCCAACAACTGATTCAATGAAGTTGACATCTCCTACCATATAACCAGTGGGCATTAAATATAACAAAAAGGATAACCAATATTACTTCTGGAAAAAAACTTTAGGACTTTATTTTAGGATTTCAAAGACTTTTAAAAGTACCAATTTTTAGATAGGAAATCATGAAAAAGGTTGAATAAAACATTTTTGTTTCAATTCTCCTACCCTTTTATTTTGGAATCAATCCTACTTTTGAGATAAAGCACAATGTTCCATATGTCTGCTTGGTACAGTGAATGCATATAATCTTTCACATGTTTCAAAGCACACAACTTTGTGCACCTGGAGTATTTGTTTTCATTCCATCAAATTATAACTCTGTATTACCAGAGTGATGACAAGAACTTCCGACGTGGATCAACCTGGAGAAGGCAATTTCCTCCTCGTGAAGTCCACGGGATCAGCATGATGCCTGGGTCCTCAGAAACATTGCCAGCTGGATTTAGGTTAACCACAACATCGGGGCAGTCGAGGAAAATGACAACAGATGGTAAAGTAGTTTTATATTTTTGATTGTACAATAAAATGCTTGCTTAGCAAAAGCTAGTACAGTTCTCTTGCATAGCTCTGGAATTGATCCTATCTTGAGTTGGTTTGCTCTGCTTGAATTTTTATTTTGCTTTCATCAAAAACCAAACCTTTCTTTGTAAATTCCTAATGCATGAACTCGTGGCATTTTATCCTCATTTTCAAAATAATGTATACTATCCTAAAAAGAACAATTCTGGCTAATGTCCACATCTAGGAAAAACAATAGATTCTGCACGATTGGTGTTTTTTCCCCCTGTCATTCACAAACTAAATAATCTAAGGTAGAGTTTGGATTTGTATTAAAGATTCATAATACATGGAACCCACCATAACCCCTGTTTACATATCTAAATATTGGAAATTTTATATATATAGTCGAAGAAATTCAGACTCATCAGACTTTTTTGTTTCTGATCAAAACAAAAGGCCTATTTAAACACCCACAATCATAAGAAGAAAGCTAAACAAACACCAAAACAATTGAAATTTCTTAATTAACATTTCCTTCTGTGGACATTAGACTGTGTTATATACTCACAAAGGAAAACAGTTATTCTGGAGAGACAATTTTGAAATAGTAGACACAAAACTATTTGTTTCAAAAACATTAAGGAAAAATAGACTCACTTTCATTACGATAATCACTTAGAATCATTATTTCTTTCCAAGGTTATAGGTACTATGATTCGTAAAATTAATTTCAGTATAAACTATCATCTTTGATCTACATTTCTTGTATCTGATAATACTGTATAACGTCTTAGCAAAATTCATGAATAATATAACATGTTTAAAATTATATAGAGGTTCCTCGATAGTTGGAGGAAATTCATCATATGGAGTTCTGTACAAGTAATCTTTTCAAAGGGAGCAGATGCACCCTGGGGGAGCTCTCTTGTTACAGATTTCATCTAAGGGGAAATACATAACTCTCAAGCTCAGCTGAATTATATTGGAACAAACATTTCCTTAGTAGCTCTGTCTAGAGGAGTCCATGAGTGGCTTACATCTAAGAGAAAGAAGGTCTACTAATATATTCAGCATCCCTTTATGCAGAGAAAATACATCTTTCTCATATGAAATCTTCTCAATCATCCAAGAACTTCAAAGCCCTTTTCTCCATTTGCAGTTGCTTCATCAAGACTGCAGAGGTTAGACAACTCCACTGTTCGCACATACTCATGTTGACAAGCCACTAAGGAGGCAGCACTGAACTGCTGTGAGTAGTTTCCCTTTGGCTGACAAACAGCAAGCCAACAACAACAAAAAATGGAACTACATAGACTAGTAAATATACATATGCCCTTTGGTATGGCCTAGCAGCACAGAGGTGAGATAACCCCTTTGAACTGATAGAGGGGGGAAAAGTAACCTGTATATTTTAATTATATCTGTTCTTTCCTTTCATCACCTGTCTCCTGTGGTGTAAGGTCTGTCTGTTTGAGACCTGTTACTCAATTACTACGCATAAATGGTTACTACCATATGTTTTTATCTTTTTGAATAGCATCACCTATTGACCCCCATATCATTTTAATAGCAAGAATTTGGCATTCAGAGAATCATAATGTTAAGTGACTATCTTATGTAAGGAAACCAAAGCAAGCATATAAGGATGTAAGCAAGTTCAGAATCCAATAATGACAGAGACAGTAAAATGATTTAGAAGTGGGTTCCTATTAACAATAAAAGTAGAAACTAAAAGTTTTGAACTTTCAATATGTTGTTGTTTATCAATGGACTTAATATTTGCTGAAAAAAGTATGAATTTCAAGTATCTGAGGAATGAAAAACATAAAATTAATTTTAATAATGAAGAATAGGAACAGCAGAACATATTACCATTAGACATGAGACATTTGTATTTAGAGAAATATAAGCTGATGGAAACTACTTCTAAATCATAAAACAGCATTTTATTGAAAAGTCATAAGTAAAAATATGGTTTCCTGGATTCATAAATGTTAAAAGTTCAAAAATTATTTAACCTAACAATTTTTCAATGAATTATTCTATGAAAGATATTTTAAGGGATTATTGAGAACAAAACAAGTACACAGGGATTGGAGGAAGCAGAAGTTATAGATGGAGAAACAGCTCGCTCTGTGGTGCTATTCTTTGACTGGAACTACAAGCTCTACAGAATTTCTTGTTGGCCCTACAGGCCTCACATGAGAGATGATATGTTGCCTTATGTGGGTCACTATTTGAAGGTAATAAAACAAAAAGCATCCAGATTCAAGATTTAATTTCAAAAAATACAACCCTACCATTAAAAATTTAATTACAATATCCAATTTGGTATCTAATTAGGCATGATCTAAAGCAGATAATAATTTGTCTAAACAAGAGGCTTTCCAAAATACTGTTTATAATAGATTCTGCACATAACATAATATTCTCAGGAACTGAATACTTCACTAATTTACAAATGGCTATTTAATATCTTCAGTAGTGCTTGCTTCTTAGCTCTTGACTGATGGATAGAAATATTCTTTAACTACTTGCAGTCTGTTTCTTATGCATGACATTCTAGTTCATATTTCCAAGCTTTTACTATTAGAAAGCAGTATTTATTTACAAAAAAAAAAAAGTCCAAGAAAATTAGTTCTTACTTGGCCAAAAATTAGCACTTACTGTGCTAAAATAATTAAAATAATTCAGAACATGCTATTTGTTCTTTCTTTTGTGTCAATAACTTTGAGCTTTTCCTAAGTATATCGTGACTGGAAAGATTTTGTAATGTCATACCACTGACACAGAGCCTTTGAAATATACTATTTACTATCAATATGCCCTTGTCACAGTTAAACAGAATTGTCTTTTTAAAAGCCGTAAAATATATGAACTAGAATATAAATATATTCCATCAAATAAGAAAACTCGACCCAATTTATTAATTACCAAGCATAAAATTTTCCAAAGGCATGCCGACATTTCGTGTGACTATTTTTGTTCATATTATTGCCATACTTGACCCAAAGTCAAGCAAATCCTCTTATGTATTTAGCACAAAAGTGAAAGAGGAGAAACATCACTTATGTCTGCTATTGGTTAGACCCAAGGTGATTTTTTTTCCATACTTTTTAGAACAGCAGTAGGCAGGCTTCATGGATATGCAGCACAAAGTAGAGGGATAGGATTTACTAGGCAGGGTCCTCTCAGTGAACTAATGCTATCCATTACATATTTTAGATGTCATCTTTTCAGTCTACTCTACCTAAAGTGCACTACCATCTAAGAAGACCAACAATGAAAACCTTTGTGAAGACCAAATTCAAAGGAAATAATAACAAGTAATGGTTTATTAAAAAGCTGAAAATGTGATTTTTTGGGGGGATCAGATATTAAGCTTGATTAGTTTACTACAATTGTAATAAAATGCTTAAGTCATTTGAATAATAAGCATCATCCACATCATATATTCTGTACATTGGATGCTTTTATGAAATGGAGCCACTTGTTTTTTCATGTTGTAATATACTAGGCATTTATGTACTACTGTGTATTTCTTTTTAAATGTGTAAGTCTTATGTAAATGGATATAAATATGATTTTTTTAAAAAATAAAATATATGGTTCATGGAGTCTGAGTGCAAACATTTGACAATTCCAAGTACTGTTTGTATTTTGCCATTCCACCATTTTTACAGCTTTTGAATTGTAACAGTCAAATCAATGTTTCCTCCTTCAAGTCTGTCTATATTTAAAGCTGAACACCTGCCTCTGATCATGTAAAAAAAAATGATTTAACCTGGAACTGGAGCCAAAAAAAAAAAAAATGACCTTTAAAGGCAATCAGGGATGTCCTATATCTTTAGAAATAGCACTGTGATGGCTCAATCTCCTTTTCAATACAAAACAAAGCCAAACTGTTTACAAGAGTCATAAGAATTATTTAAAAATTTATATTAAGAATCCATTATCTTCTCTTGTTATCTGTGGACCAAGAAAAAAAGGAAAACTTTACTAAGAACCACACATTCATTCAAATACCTTGAACCACCAGCCAGCACTGGGCAGCGAAGGTCAACCACTGCAGTCTGAGGCTCATTTTCACTGAAAAAATCACAACCCAGAAATCCTTTCCTTTTATTCAATGTAACAGGGCATTAGCCAAATTCATGTTTAACATTATAAGCTTTCAGCCAAGATGGCCTTGTGGATCTTCCCTGAAGATAGTTTTATCAGAGGAAATAAATGAAAGACAGAATGATTACATATATAGTGTATAAAAAGTATAGAAGAGTAATATCTTCCCTGTGGCTTTATTTGGTGGTGTTACTGTTGTTTATTCTTTGTTTATATGGAAGATTTCAAAGTACAACCTATTTAATAATACCATTTATCTAACTGCTGATTTTCTGCTGCTTGTCTTATGAAGAGCAAAACCTGTCATTAGTTAATTTCTTTTTTGTATTTTAATTTGCTATGTTTGCACGTACACTACATTTGTTTTGATGTCTATTTTTATTTAACAGATTCAGTCAAAAGGTAGTGGTAACCGAAACCCTCTCCATTGTCAATAAAAAAAAAAAATACTTCCAGTTCTTTGTTTAAGCTTTCTTTCTAGGGATGTAACATTTGCCTACTGACCTGTGATGAAAACCTTTCTTTCAGTTACTCAAAATCTAACATTTCACTTCAAAACATAGTTTGCCACAAGAGGGAGTACTGAACTAGCTTATGGAAGTGATTTTGAATTTTCCTTCCATGTTGCTTGAGCAGAAACAATGCGAAAGGGCTTTCTAAACTCACCTGAAAATGGGCATTTTGATTCATAGAAATAAAATATAATACAGAATCTATGATATTAAAATGCCACAAGTGATCTGTCTTTATTGTCATACCGCTGGGCCAGCTTTCCATCACAGAAATATCTGTGACAATTAGCTTATACAGACAAAAGGCTTGTTTTGACTCACACAATTCTGGAGTTTGCAGTCAAAGATCAAGCAGACCAGTCGCTTTTAGCTTCTGGTGAACGTGTGGGGTGACAATGGTTGAGAGCATCGAGGAGGCAAACTGCATGCCTCAGGGCTAGGAACCCAGTGAGCAAAAAAAGCTTCTCCAGTGACCTTACAGCCTCCCTTCTCCTACGGTCCCACAGCACCTTCCAGCACGGATACCTGGGCTCCAAGCCTTTAACCTGTGGGTCCAGATAGGAAATATACAAACTGCAGAAACCAGTTAGTGAAGTCATTCTCTGCTTTTTAGTGATCAAGTAAGATTAATCATTTGTAACAGACGGTGACATACAGTGATACAAAAGATCCAACAACCTCCCACAGAGAAGTGTAAAATATGCTTCAGTTTACAAGAAAACTTTTGTCGGGTTCTAAAATCTTTTTCATGGACTGAGTTTAAAATCTCAGAGGGCTGGGGATTTAGCTCAGCGGTTCGGTGGCCTGCCTTCCAAGCACAAAGACCTGAGTTCAATCCCCGGTACCAAAAAAAAAAAATCTCAGTAGTTTTCACTTTGACCATCACCATTATGAGGTATGACATTTTTAGTGATCAGATATAGACTCTTCAAATAATTTTAGATAACTAAAACTGCTTCTTAAGATGTAAGGTGCATTTAATTTGCATATATTTAACATACATTCAAAGGAAAAGTAACTAATGGAAAAGTAATAAAGGTCTTTTACCATCTAGGAAAAAAAAAAAAAAAAAAAAAAAAAAAGGCCTCTCTGAGCCACCTGGCTCCGGGAGTGCCGTCTGGCCAGACTAATAAAGGTCTTTTACCATCTAGAAAAAAAAAAAAAAAAGTGACTAATTGGAAAACACATTTCTAGTGATGTTTTTATTATTTTCCTTACAGTGAAAAAAAAATCATGAAAATACTAAAAGCAGGCACACTGAATTTATTTTAGCAAACAGTATGACTGCATGCTTTAGAAACATTATATTGTTGTATTAAAAGATACATTTAATTTGAAATGTTTTAGATACTAATTAGTGAAAGTGATTTATGGTAAGTATTACAACAGAACATTTTCTTTATTTTTCTCAAATTATAAGCAGTCTGATGATTCGAGTGTCACTTTATTGACCCAGTTTTAGTCGTGTGAGAGTAATAATACTCTCTCTGACCTTGTAAAGGAGATACATTTCCTTAATGAGACACAAGAAATAGTTACTTCTCCAGTGTCATGCAGTGTTTTCCAGACCCACACAACTAGAAAATCACCCAACCCTTCTTGTTGAGGAGTCCTTTCAGATGAGATTACCAGGAAATATATGGAAGAGGACCAGAGAGGCAACTTTCATGCAATTCTTGGATCTGCCTGGGCTTGTGAACTTAAAAACAAAAAACAAACAAACAAAAAAAAAAAAAACAAGACACACTCAAAGAATTTGTCATTTCAGATTAACTGACTCCTGTAGAAAAGAAGTAAGAAAATGAATTTTAATGCTATTACATTTAAAATAGTTTATTTGTTAAGTACTACAGTTCTGATAATAGAGAAAATGTACCCAAAAAAGATATTTCAAGAAACTGAGCAGGTTCAAATTATATAGTATCTATCTAGTTGGATTAATTTAGGCTACTAGAATAATTAAAGATGAATATATTTTTTCAGGCATAATGATCAAGAAGGCAGGTTATGCAAAGAGGAATTTACTTTGAGAAACCACTTATTTTGTGGCCTATAGTTCAAAAACAGCTAATATTTTCAGAATGTTTTATACAAGCTATTAACAATTTATATGACATAAACAAGTGAATTCACATCTATTATCACCCACAGATATTTCTCTATCCAAACTATTATATTAGGACAATGTGTTCTTGATAACAGTATTCCCAAGATTGTGAAATATTCAAAGAATTTTCAAATACTAAATGGGCATAGTACACATTTTGTGGTTAAATGCATTATTTGATAACGGATGCATATAGAACTCTAAATCAGTTCATTATCCACTTATATCTAGTTATTCAGTACATCACCATAAGCTCATTCAAGACTAATTTTAAATTTCATTTAAAAAGGCTTCCTAATTTTATAGAAGTTTAATTGTAAAGACATGTTTGGGCATAATTCATACCTGTGTCATCAGTTATATAAAAGTATAACTTTCACAAGAATAACTATGGATTTCTTGCTTCTCTCGGAAACCCGAGGCTCTTGAAGCAGGACGTCCGTCTCCCTCCCTCCCATTACACATTCTTCCAAAGCAGCCAGGCCTGTCTTTTGATGGAGCAGGTGCTCTGCGGGGTTTACCATTCCCCATTGACCTAAAATACAGGCTAAGTGGCTCAAGACTCCTGCAACCCTCAACGACATTACACTACCTAACTGGAAAGTCCCTTAATCTGCAGCCTAGTGTTAAAGCCGTTGCCTTCCTTCCTTAAGAGCTTTCCTTGCCACTTTACTTCACTTGTGTGTTATTTCTTTGACTCTAGTAAAGTCAGAATCATTAAGAAGCAAATTAAGAACCTGAGAAATGAGTCGGGTCTCTTGGGAGCTTTCATCTCCCCAAGTGCAAAGGTTGGGTTGGTAATCTTTAGGTTCTCTGCCAGGCATGTGATTTCCCGTGTCTTAGTAACAAAGGACCAGAAGGCAGAGCTGTAACCCTGGCTCCCTGCTTTCCCTCAGTAAATACGGCCACACAGGTCTCCCTGCCTGTACAATACCTTCATCAGTCTACGTGATTACATAAAATTCCCCAATTTATCTGTTTCACTTAGAACAATGTAGGCATCCAAAGAATCTTACCAATATTCAGAATTCATATAAGAGCAATTTTAATTATTTTTCTCATTGAGTTTATTGGTACATTTTAGGTATACAGTACAGTTACATTCATCATTGGGATCTTGTACCTTTACACGACAGGTCTTGGTTCTCATTTTTTCCCCTTACCCCTGCCCTCCCTTCACCCCCTCCTCCCCTCCCCCTTTACAAACACTTCATTTCCATTTTTTCATTTCTCTTATTTTTTTCTTTTCCCTTACTACCTTTCTCCTACCCTTCCCACTTTCCCTATACCTTGAGCCCCTTTCTTCCTATTTAATTATTTTTTGACATTGAATTGTATTTTAAATTCTGTCAGCAAATGTTTATAAGAGCCATTTTTAATTGCAATAGAATTTTAGTGGAATTTTTTTTAATATTCATGGAATGGATACATTTTCTTATAGCACTGGACAACATATGGTGAGCCATGTTATAGACAACTGAAAAACCATACAATTGGGTACAATCAGACAGGTTCTTTCACTGGTCTTCATGAGACTGGCTTTGTTGAAGTTTTACATTTCACATTGCAATTAGAAAGTCCTTTCTCTATAAATTTTTATTTCTGAGAAGTAACTCAAATAACTTAATTCCAGCTACAAAATTAACTCATATGAACTCGTAATAGAAATAAAATCATGATGGCTTTTTCAGCATTTCTTCTATATGCCCAAAAATGCTGGGATCTTCAATTGTGGGAGTTACCTGGGAAGAAATTTAGTGTCATATGAATGCCCCTCTACACTCATTATAATAAAATGATTACATGCAATGTAGTACTTCTCATTATCTTATAAGACTCCTATAAAATATACAAATTAGGGAATTTTGAACCTATTATTTACAGACCTATTTGTAGTCTTCCAAAGCAACAAGTAAACGGCTCAATGAACAAAATCATTGATCACAGATGATACTTTAGAGTTCCTTTTAAGAGTCTTTCTATAAAGTTACTTTTATTGGGAGGTACACATTTGTTCCTATAAGCATTTTTTACTGTTACATTACTTTTAATTAGATGTTATTGATAAAATATATACCTCTATGCACAGAAAGCGTGTGTATAACCGATGCTTGCATCAATCTAATTTCCTAAAATAAATTTCACTCAATAACACATACATCAATTACAACATTTTGAATATCCATTGTAAACCTCAAATATTTTGTTTTCTCATTTACTAATAGTCATTAATGACTACAATGAACGAAAGTGTACCTTTAAATCAGTAGGACTGAGTTTCCATAAGTATGTTTGAATTCAATTAATATAATTACTAATAGAAAAAAATATTTTCACACATTTGTTCTTATAATCAAAGAATATAGTTCTAACTCATCTGCCTTTCTTTCCCAAACCCTCATCCTTCAGAGAGGGCCAGTGTAATTTGTCTTTTTTATTTTAATATTTAACATTAAAATAATCGTACAAGTATGTATTTGGTAGGGATACAATTCATGCTTAGGAGCCATTTTAAGAGTTTTATTGATGCCAAAGAAATGGCGGTAAGCATTTCAGAATTTAGCATTAAATATCTTTGATAACTTACCTTATATGGCTTGCCATTTACTAAGGCAGATAGAGTAGCTCGAGGAATTTTGCCAGATCTTGTTTTGGGCAACTGTTTAACAAACACTGCATTTCGAAAAGCAGCCACAGGGCCAATGCTCTGTCTAACATGTTTCACAATTTCTTCTAAAACTTGTTCTTCTGTGGCATTTATATCTAGAGAAGAAGTTGAAAGGGTTCACAATGAATCAAGCTGACTCAATCATTCAGGCCCAGTCAGGAAGGACAAAGATATCTCACCCTTTTTCAACACACAGATTGCTAAGGGAACATGACCTTTCAAAGGATCTTCCTTGCCAACCACAGCACAGTCTTCAACAGTACCATGGGAAAGGACAGACTGAAATAAGAAAAGGCATTCATTTATAATATGTATACAAACGTGTGTACATAATTTTAATACAGAAAAATAAATATGAGACATCAGTTCATTGCTACCTGCCTGAAAATTCATTACTAATTTGCACAATGATCACTGAGGAGAAAGATTAGGATTCCCATGGAAATCACAAAGGCTGATAGCAATTAAGATAAATTACTTGGATTACTTGGAAAGTATGGAAATTATTTCATCTTATTAAGAGTTTATTTATTAGGCAGAGAACATGTGCAACAGTTATCGCATGCAGTTGCTATCAGGCCACCTATCATGTTTGACAGTAGTGCTGGCTGCTTTCAGAGGAATTCCAGACTGTCCCCAGGGCCACACAATGAATGTAATGAACAGTTCCCTGAATGGCCTCCCATCCGAGAGAATTTGCCAGGACTTGAAAGAAGAGGCTGCAGATGGACAGAAGTCCTGACACCACACAATTTCCACTTTCATACTGCTCGCAATCAACTCTCAAGGCCTTACAGAGAAAAGCATCTATCCGTCTGGAATCATAAGAACTTGGAGATTTGAAAATCCAAATAAAATATAGATGCTTAGGGTTTAAAAAATTCTGCTGTGACGGAACTTTTAAAAATACATGTTCAAAAAGGCCTCTTCTGAGATTAATATATATTTCAGTGACTCCACATGCCTAATGTCTACCAAGCACAGTAGACAAACTTGATTCCAATTGTTCATTTAGCAGTCCTTATTCTTTCATCTATTCATTCATGCCACAACTATGTACTAAATTTCCCCATTGGTGCAATACTATATTGAGCTCAGCTGTGAGCAAAAATAGGCCAAGTATCACTGTCTAATGTTTATAGTCTAGTGATGAAGACAGATATAGTACTAATAAATAATCTAGACATTTTAATTTTTATAAATGTCTGTCTGTGACAATAGTAAGAGCTCTGAGGAAAAACCTTAGGTTCTTTATATGCAAGCTATGGCAAAGCATATCATTACCAGGAGGATATAGACATAAAAGAAGTCTTCTCTGAGCAAATGGCAATGAGCAATCTAGAGAATAAAGAGATACTGACTAGGCAGAAAGACGAGGGTCAGGCAAAAGCTCAGTAGAGAAACTGCAAGTAAACCGTTCAGATCTGATCTGAAAGAGGACAGAGGGTCTGGAAATTAGGAGGTGGGGTAAAGTTGCAGAGGTAGATAGAGTGTGCCAACTTTTTTTTTTTTAACAACATTATAAGACTAATGCAACATTTTCAGGAGTTGAGGAGGAGATGCAAAATCAGAATAAATTCATAAATAGACTTTATTTTTAGTGTAGTTCTAGAGTTACGGCACATTGAGCAGGAAGTAGCCCTCGTATCCACACAGCCTGCTTCGTTAATTTGCACTAGAATGCTACATCTCTTAGAATCAATGAGCTAACACTGACACATCATTTTCAGCCCCGTCCTTAGATCATCTTGTGGTTCACATTTGTTGTATGTTCTATGGTGTCTCGCAAATATGTAAGACATGTATCCACCACTGTAGTATTACACATAATAGTTTTATTGTTGTAAAAATCCCCTATGTCTGCCCATTCGGCACTCTCTTTCCCCCAACCCCTGGCAAAACTAGCCCTTTTACTGTCTCTGAGACCCCTTTGCTTAATATAGTTAGAATATAGTCATATAGTTAGAATCATATAGTAGACAGACTTTTCAGATGTTTCTTTGTTCACATTAGATGGATTTTGAAAAAACCCAATTTTAGATTTCAGTGTGGAGAACAGGTGGTGGATTTTTCTGGGTGAGCCTCACATTTATACAAGAAAACCACTTAAAAGGCTACTGTAATGGACTATGATTATGGAAGTGATTACAATGACTTTAGTTTCTTTATAAGTAAAATGGACAAAAATGACCGTAAGTTGAATATGGGGCATGGATAAGGCAGATGGACTCTGAGTTGGTTGGATGGTGGCAACTTTCTAAACCAGAAAAGATTATAAGGACTAAGTTCAGGAGGAAAGACCATGTATTATTTTCTTAAAGACATTTCATTTAAGAGGTGTGTATAAGACATCCAGGGGGAAGCTGTTGGGATCTGAGAAGAGACAAAAGTCATATGTAGATGACTTTCTTATATAGAGGGTAATGGCAGCTATAGGCCTAGATGAGATTATTTAAGAGAAAGAAGAAGAAAATACCAAGAGTCTTAAGGAATTGCAATATGTATTGGTCATATGAAAAAGAAGCAGTGAACAAACTAAAATAAAAGACAGCTAAACAATCAGAAAATGGAAAAAGCAGAATCTGAGAAAACACTAAATTCCCAACTTTTTCAAGATGTTTTTCATTAAGACAAATTAAAAATGAGGCTTCTCTTCCTTAAACTCCTGGAAGACTTAATGAACTACCGTACTAAGACATTTAATTAAAAAACAAAACAAAACAGTTTCTACCTCACAGTATCCCTATGTAACACACTGTATACACAGCACAACATTACTTCTATTTCCCATGGGAAGCATCCAGTATGAATCATTGAATCATAAAGGTTTCCATGCATGTAGCTTTTGACTTCTATAGTGATAAGTACAGTGTATGTTATATAAATTTTTTCTGTAGTGTATTTTAACTGATTTGCTGTTATAAAGCTGTTAGTTCTTTCTTTCCAACTATCTAAAAGTTTCTACAGTCATGTAAAGGTACAAGATCCCAATAATGAATGTAACTGTACTGTGTACCTAAAATGTACCAATAAACTCAATGAGGAAAAATAAATAAATCAATAAAAGTTTCTACTGAATACATATTATACAATCATGTACCACATTCTCTATTGCTGCAGAGCTCCTGATGACTTATTTGTTACATGTTATTTAATTTTAAGATCTACATTCTGAGAATAGAGAACCAAATCCCACTATCAAATATTTATTTTGATCATTTACTACGAGTTATGGAAAAGAATACTTTGTCCATAGCAAAACAGATACACTCGATAGGGAAAATCCTGTAATTTCAACTTACCATACCCTTAATGAGAAGGCATAACTATTTTAACTGATGAAGCAGAGTTTTAATTGTCAAAAAAATTATTAAAGTGTGTATTGGTGTCAGAAGTCTCTGTTCTTGAGTTTTTAAAATGTCAAATTACTGAAAAATAATCAATCAGTATGACTATAATTTGAACTAAA